CACACGTCGTGAGGAGTGATTCGTGCGTGTGGATTTATGTTAAAACGTGCTTAGTTATGTACTTCTTCATACAGAAATATGTTAAATTTTGTGCAACAACTAAAAATGTATATTTTTGTGTTTATTTATATACATGAAATTATACACATTCATGTATGATTTTTTGCATAAATCCGTAAGCACAAAATCACAACATATGACTTGAACGAAAAAGAAATTTCAACTTCAACTTCAACGAGAGTTATATTATAACGACTGGCTTGTTCATAGCGAACTGGAGCCACCCCTTGCTCGGGTCACGCAGCCAGGCCGGGTCCGGCCACCGGCCCATCCCCTGCGGAGTGAACATGCAATCCCGCGCACCTCCGCACTGTACTGCACGCACAAGTGCGGGCAGACTTGGCCTGCCTATCGCCCCTGTCCACGGCGCCTTACGGGCCGAGCGAGTAGGCAACCCAACAGCACGTAAAGAAAGCGGTAGCATTACTACAGAAGTCAGCCACCTGTTACACTTGCCCGCGCCCTTACTCGCAAAACTCGCGGAAGATTTCGAAAACTCGCGCTAAACATGCGCCCACACTGAGAAAACTTTTTCCTGCTGGGCACTAGACGGTTGTTTAGTGCGTCCTACTTTGTTCCTGGCACAAAAAATTTAGTTCCTGCCACTAAAATTACTGTGCGTGGCAACAAAATTTAAAAGCTCGGCAACAAAACTTTGGTGCTCAGGCACAACTGTAAAGTGCGTCAAAAACTTTCGGTCTCGGGACAAAATGTTTAGTGCTCAGACCAAAAATTTTTCTCAGTGCACTTCGCTTCAACTCGTCGTGTGAGAGTTGTTTTGAAATATCCCTAACAGGGATCAGCACGCGGAGCATCATCACCGGGTAACAGGTTATCTGCTGGTGGAATAAGTCAAGCAACTGGCCGATGCAGCTCTATCACTGCTCGCCTCGCTCAGCAGCTGACCAGCTGCCCCACTGCACTGCCGCGGGTGCAGCCAGCCCGTCCCATGGCGTCCCACTCGCGTTCCCGCCAAATTGTTTCAAAGCCGTAATGAAGCTGGTACGGCACGGCTCGCGGCCGTGAGTGATTGGGACATGGAGCAGCAGCATGGCGGAGCGCGGAGAAGGGGGGGAGGGGGCTCCTCGCAGGAGTGGGATGGGGCTCGAGTCAGAGGCGTGGCCTGGCCAACGGGAGGCGGGGGGCATCGAGGGCCTCTAAGCGAATAATTAATCGGCCACTTTTTGTTTTTGTTTTTAGACAGCGGAGTCGTCTTCTACGATCGCTTTGCCCCGATTGTCAATTGTTTTACATGGCCCTTTATGGGAAAATAGAATCGGCACCATGAAGCTGGTACGGCACGGCTCGCGGCCGTGAGTGATTGGGACATGGAGCAGCAGCATGGCGGAGCGCGGAGAAGGGGGGGAGGGGGCTCCTCGCAGGAGTGGGATGGGGCTCGAGTCAGAGGCGTGGCCTGGCCAACGGGAGGCGGGGGGCATCGAGGGCCTCTAAGCGAATAATTAATCGGCCACTTTTTGTTTTTGTTTTTAGACAGCGGAGTCGTCTTCTACGATCGCTTTGCCCCGATTGTCAATTGTTTTACATGGCCCTTTATGGGAAAATAGAATCGGCACCATAGATTTTCTTCATGTTTTTTTTTAAATTAGAAAATTCAATTTTACAATGCCCCCCAAAGTTTAATCAAAAACTTAATTTTCAGTTTTTTGCAAATTTAAATTGAAATCTCTGTTTCTATGGTGATACTCGGCTCGTCACGAGAGAGATGGAGATAGTTTTAAATGCAACAAGTAGGCCGAGCCGAGCCAATCCAGAGGAAAGAAAGCACCTCTAAAGTCTGCGTTCAAACAATCCCTTCCTTTGCTACAATGCACAGAACTAGGATAACACTACCCTTTTTCGAACGCCGTCACCTTACCGCCTTCTAATAATATTTCTATTTTCACCACTAATTCTAAATAAAACAAGCAAATCATCAACAACATTTTGGCCGGGTTTTCCGAAAAAGCACACTTCCTTTACTATAGTAAGGAAACAGACACGAATGGCAATAATCATATTCGAACGCCACCACCTTACCGCCTTCTTATAAAGACTTTCATTTCAAACGTAAACGAAAGGGAAGACCATCGACGCCACTTCTGCATTTTTGTTGTTGTGCATAAGCATGCAAAATTCAATTTTTATGAAAAAATATGTACATAATATTCAACGAGATGTAACATAGTCGCGT